GCGCGCGCGTGTGTGTGTGTGTTCATATTCGTGTCATCACCGATGCTGTGTTTGACGAACTACTTGGGGCCATGTTGACATCATGAAGTTAACTGGGTCTTTATACTGGGGTGGCTGACCAATGATTCTTCCCCAGGGGAGTTTGTCAAACATCGCACCGGTGATAGCACTAATATGAATATATATATGTGTGTGTGTGTGTGTGTGTATATATATATATATAATTATATATATATATATATATATATATATATATATATATATATATATGTGTGTGTGTGTGTGTGTGTGTGTATGTATGTATATGTGTATATCTTTCTGTGTGTGTGTGTATGTGTGTGTGTGTGTGTGTGTGTGTGTGTGTGTGTGTGTGTGTGTGTGTGTGTGTGTGTGTGTGTGTATCCATCATCATCATCAGCCTGTATCAATATATATATATATATATATATATATATATATATATATATATATATATATATATATGTATATATATATATATATATATATATATATATATATATATATATATATATACATATCATCACTAATCTGTATTAATCCACTGCAGGACGTAGGCCTCTCCCAATCTCTTCCAACTTTGTCTGTCTTGCGTTTTTGCTTCCAGTTTTGGCCCAAAATTTCGTTATTTCGTCATGTCATCTTGTCACTGGTCTTGCCTTTTTTTGATGATCCCAAGTATATGTTGAGGGTGTCATAGCTCAGTGGTAGAGCGCTGGCTTTGCAATCACAAGGTCCCGGGTCCCCTCTCAGTCGACTCAGCTGTGAATGAGTACTGATATGCTGACGTCAGCATGTCGGGGTCAAAGTCGGGACGGAAAGGAACTGGCCACCCTACCGGATCATCCCGCGGCCTAGTAAGCATGTTTCTTTGATTCCTCTCCAGTAATTTGGTTGTAATCCATGTTTCTGATCCATAGGAAGGACGCATTGGTTAAAGACTTTTATTTCTAAACATAATGGCAAGTTTGTCTGTACGAGTTGCCCAAGGTATATATACTTGTCTACTACCTCTAACGCTTCGCCTTGAACATGTATCTGTTCGAATTGAACTCTACTGTTGAACATGATCTTAGCCTTTTTCTTGTTCAACCTAAGTATCGCCCTGTTTTACACCTTTTTAAATGGGTATTTTATCGGTTTCTGTGTGGAGCTTGATAGTTACTGTCCAATCTTCGTATATATATCTTCCAGTACTCTAATATACCTCCTCTACTCCCTGTCTTTGAATAGCTTCTAGTACTGCTGGTATTTGCACAGAGTTAAATTCCCTTTCGTTATCGATGAATGTCATACACAGGGGTTTCCTATATTCGTTTGTTTTTTCTCTTATTTGGATGAGCGTGTGTATGTGGTCTGTTCTTGAGAATCCACTGCGGAAGCCTGCCTGTTCTCTAGGTTGGTTAGAATCCAGACTGTCAGAGATGTGAGTTGTGATGACTTTTGGGAACAGTTTGTAAGTAACTGAAAGGAGGCTTATGGGTAGGTAGTTTTTTATATCCTTTCTATCCCCTTTTTCATGTATCAAAATAATTGTTGCATATTTCCAGGCTTTCAAAGTTTTTCCACTGAGATGGAATTTGTTAAAAAGATTGGCTAGTTTCACTGTTACAATTTCTCCTGCATCTATTATAAAGGTATAAACTAATTCTATCTTCACCTGGTGTTTTCCCTCTCTCCATGACTCGTTACCACGTTCGCTTCTATCCGCGGCTGTTCGTTTGAGTTGTATAGATCCCTGTAAAAGTCTTCCACTTCTCTTATGATCTCATTCTTATTATCTGCCACTTCTTCGTGTGGTTTCTTTGTTGCATATATTTTATTTCTTCCTATTTCGAGTCTCCTTTTAGCTGTTTTCATGCTGGTAACTGATATCACTGTTTCATTTATTATTTGAGTATTGTATTTCCGTACATCTTTTTATTTATAGTCTGCGGTTTCTCCTCCTGTTTTTTTTACCTATTTTGCCATTAAAATCTCCCATAATTATTGTGAAAGGGGTTTTTACTCTCTCGCTGGTTAAATGAACATCTTCATAGAAGGTCTCTGTTTCTTCATCACTGAGGCTACAGGTTAGAACAGAGACTTGAACAACGCTGGTTAAATGAACATCTTCATAGAAGGTCTCTGTTTCTTCATCACTGAGGCTACAGGTTAGAACATAGACTTGAACAACCTTTAAGTTGTATGTATTGTTTAGTTTTATTGTTACTGAAGCCACTCTTTCACTTACACTATAGAATTCTACGATATTCTTTTCTAAGCGTTTGTGAACTAATAAGCCTATGCCTATTTCCTGCTTGCTACCCTGGGGTTTACCTCTCCAAGAGAACACGTGTCCATCATATAGTATTTCTGTTCTTCGCCCAGTCTTCTTACTTCTTACAACAGCCCATTTGATGAATGAGAGTTCCTCGAGTAACGCTAGTAAGTCGGATTCCGTTCTCATTGCCCTTTATTATATGTGCAAAGGTTCGCCAAT